GGGGGGGGGTTGGCCGCCCCCTGAAGACTCTGCGATTCCCCCCGACGGCACCGCTGGGACGCTCCGTCCGCGCCCGACGAGACTCCGAGGGCCGCCCGCAGTTCCACCCCTCTCCCCCCTCCCCCTCCTTCCCCCCACGGACGGATTTTCACCCTCTCCACGAAGATCGCTGATTTCGGGGAAGGGGCCGTTTACCCCCCTTCCACCCCCCAGGAGACTTTTACGACCTTTTCCTCACCAGGAAATCCCCCCCCCGGCTCCCGCAGATGGTTTTTGGGGTCCCCCCCCAGGACAATCTTCTCGCTTCGGCCTTCTCCAATCCTTCCGGCTCTCTTCGCCGCCGGCTCCTCGCTCTTGTTTTGATGATTTTACATTTTTAATTTATTGGGATTTTTTTTTTTTTTTTTTTTTTTTTTTGGAGCGGGGGACGAAGAACCCCCCCCTCCTCCCTTCCCCCCCCCTCCCCCCTGCACACACACATATTACCCTGTTGCCCTCGGACTCCGGAGCCACGAGCCCACGGATCGGGCCCTTTTCTCCCCGAGGAAGAGGATTAATTACCCCGTTGGATTATTTATTTCCCCGCGATCAGAGGAAGGAAAGATGCCGGCCGGGTTCTCCCCTTAATCCCCGGATTCGTTACCCCATTTTCTCCTGTTGGATGCATCACCCCTTCGCCTCCCCTCCAAGAAGAGGAGCGGGGATCGATCCCAATCTACGCTGCATTTCCCACTGCCTCCCTCTGTCCTCCCCTTTTTCCCCCCCCCCCCCCCCCCCCCATTTCATATCCAGAGGAGAAAACGCTCTGAGTTTCTCTTTTAAAATAATAATAATAATTTTTAACCCTCCTCTCTCACTCCTTCCCTGGTTATTTATCCTGCCACTATTCCGTGTGTGTGTGCGTACGTAAAGCCCTTATTTAACCGCATTATTATTTGTGCGTGTGCCTCGCCCCCTCCCCCGTCCCCTCGCAGTGTCTGTCTCCCTCTCCCTCTCTCTCTCTCTCTCTCTCTCTCTCTCTCTCTCTGTCTGTCTCTTTCTTTCTTGTCGGAGGCTGTGGGATAATGGCGTGTGGGTTGTGGCTGTGAGGATGAGTTCCTGCTTCGTGCCGAACGGGGCCAGCCTGGAGGATTGCCATTCCAACCTCTTCTGCCTGGTGAGCGCCCGCGGCCGCGCACACGCGCGACGTGCGCGGAGTGGGAGCGGGAGGCGGCCGGGGGAGGGGAGGAGGCCGGGCAGTGGCAGCAAGCAGCCATTTTTAGCAGAGCTTCTGCTGGAGGAGCCCTCGGAGCAGGCCCAGCCGGGCGGCTGCCAGCTCTCCGTGCCCCCCCCCCCCCCCCCCCCCCCCCCCCCCCCCCCCCCCCCCCCCCCCCCCCCCCCCCC